TTGTATGTACATTCCATTAAGATTGATACCGCGCACACCGAGGGACGGAAATGTAAGTTGGTTGTCATAGCAACACATGGTCGTTAAAACGGCATATTGTTTGTGATTTGAAATGTGCGTACATGTTCATACTTGGACAGTAACTAGGCATAATTGTATATAATCGAACGTGACGGCTAAACACATTCTATAAATCTGCAGTTAATCCGTACAGTCGAATGACGTATGTCTGCATTTTTTTTCTCAATTGTTTGAATGTCCACAGCTTTAGCATTGCAAGTATTGTTAGATTGACAAGGTCATGCATGTTCTAGTCAATGGTCTTTGCCATTACAATTGTGAATGTCAACGTTACTTTGCCGTCGAAGTAATGTTATTTTGTTTCACGCCACATTCCTCGGCGGGACAAATACTTGCATATTCAGTTTAAATGTCATTGTCAGAGTCATTATTTTACAATGTTTATGTTAGAACACAGGGACAGGGCGCGTATTCAAAATACATAATATGTTGAACACAAGTTGAAAAAAACGACGATGAGAGGGTGATTGCGTTCGTGTTTTCTGTTAACTGAACACCAGATCATTTATTGGCATGAAATATAAATATCACATGAATATTTTCAAACACATTTGTTTGCTCCCGGGATGCCTTTGGATGGCTTGTATATCATTTATTCGTAGGAAAAATGGCATCCTTCTTTGTATGTACCCGCGAAAATAGTTTCACACCTTTTAAAAGAAACTCATTCTACTTTCATTTCACTCCGTATTCATAATCGACCTCAGTGACAGAGGAAAAATCGTATAACAAGTTTGGCTTCCATATGTAAGTACTTAATTTATTAAGAATACACGTTAGAGCATACACGGTGTAGTCCGTTACTATGACAACTGTTTTCCATTAGCCCTATTATTATGGCTTGGGTATAATAAAGTCAATTCACTGAAAGGATCAGTAGAAATCGGACAATGGTGGCGCTGTGGGTGTTTTTTTCCCTTAACGTATCTGCGTTATTTTGTTTATTTCAGTTTATTTGCTATCCTATCGATTCAGTTGTTGCCTACCTAATTTTATATAGGTTATAAGCGACACACACACACACACTAATAATACCATTACATTTTTCTGACAATGTATATTGTTAAGAACCGGTAATATTGATATTAATCGATCTCAATTATAATTCCAACACACATGCGTGACATGCGCCCTCAATAGACATTTTCAGTTACGTTGCTTGTGTCCTGAGCGGCGTATGACACATGCAGGAACATGTGTAATAATATTATAATAATAATAATAATAATAATAATAATAATACTGTGTAGTAACGTTCCTTGAGTGATTTTTATTTCATAAAATGTTTATACAATTTGGTGTTTCTCTCGCCCAAATCTCGCTTGGTTTGTGCATCTTACGCCCTCAGAAACGGAAGCTTACTTCAGTTCTGAGCTCCGCAACAGCGGATTTATTTTACTACGGAACTTGTACAAATTCGATTGTTTACTTCAACGCAAATCATGATGGACATTCGAGGAACACCAAATACAACAAGCTCTTTGAACAAATGTGTTTACACAAAATGATATCGTGATGGGTTTAGTAAATAATAATCACTAAGTAACACGTTATATTTGTATTAATTAATATTTTTTTTTAAAAAACAGCGAACCACACACTAGAATGTAAATACCTAGAGACCCCAGTGTTTTAAGGTTGCATTCACAAGCTACAAATATGCAAACAAATCTGAAATATTAAAAATAGATATCCTGCTTTGTCCTTTCCACCTATTCTTGTGAGTACTATAGTTTCGTATCTCTCAGACTGAGCCATACATGTAATGTGAATATCAAACTCAGCGAGTGTCCATGGTTACCATATCACTCATTAGTCTGCAGTTAATTTGTCAGTACACATCGACAATCTCAATATATATATTGGAATTCTGCCACACAAATTTGCAGAATGTGAATGCCACTTTAATAGTAGTCTGGGTACCCTGGATTCTGTTCATGACTTGCAAGACAAACTGTTTCAACTCAAAATTCTTTATAAGTGCCCTTTTTGTGGTCTCTCGATCTTATAATTTGTTAGACACTAACAACTAAACTTACCCAAAATTGAATTAGAAATATAAATTAGTATCACAAATAAATTTTACAATTCCCTAACGGAAAGTAACATGACTTTGTTCAAAGCAACCAGTGCATATCAAATGTGTGATTGGTAGTCATTCATAAAATAATTTAAAAAAGAAACGTGAGCAAAATGTGTATACATTATTTCAAATGTCATGCTATACGTAATTTGACATTGAACTCCACCCGAATCATATTTGGCGAACACATCGATCATTTGCATGTTTTCGTCGCCCGTCACCATGCGCAGAGTCCCGATTAGTACGTGATGTCACGTGACACTGCCATTGTATGAAACAAATCGAGTGACGTCGGTCACTTAGGTTGGAACTGACAGATTAGTTGTATATACGTACAAATTAAAAATAGAAATTTAAAAACAAACTCGTCACAAAATGTACAAATATGATGAAGATCAACCTAATGAATCAATAATCGAAGCGATCGTGCTGGTTGGAAATAAGATCCTTCACAAAAAGTGACAAAATTGTTTAGAAATAATTGAACACGGACGTTGTTACAGCCGGGCTTTTCGCACATACAATTTCATAATTGTGTTTAATTGTAGCTTCCCTGTAAGACGAGACGAGGGAATCATGTTTCAAATGATAAATTACATTATACTTGCATGAAAAAAAGATGTCGGACATTCGCCAACCGATATGTGATTATGAACCGATGTAATATACTACTAATTACACAAAATAATTGGTATTTCAATACAGTATAATTTTTCGTAAGGGAAATATTAAACAAAACAGTTCAACTCCAAAAATAACAAACTTTCTTCTTCTCACGGCTGACATATCACTGTCACGTCGTATGACGTATATTCGTACACTTACGCCAGTTGTGGTGAAACCAATATATGGATGCAAAATTGGAGTTCACAAATAACGAACTATCAAGATATTTTCCATTTTAATGAAAATAGTCTTCGGATTAGTTATAAAGTATGATTTAATTGAATACCGTTCATGAAATAAAATTAAATACTAGACTCAGGCTGTTCACTTTAAACAAAGCTCAACGGGCCAAAATGTCATTTCCAACATAACTGCTACCGCCAAACAGGGCAACGAAAAACAACCGAAATGAAAAATGCTTTTCCTGGAAAACGCAATATCCAAATATTATCCAAACAATTGGACTGATAAAACTGCAACGACTAAAGATGTTAACACCTATTATAACAAAACAGTAGTGAAGCCACATTTATATATTACCAGCTGTCTTCACGGAGATATGATTCGGGAGTTCACTAGTTCGATAATCTGACAATTGTTGCATACACACGCTGATCCCAGCTTTCATTGCGCATGCGTGTCAGATACCAGGCATAAACTGGTGGTAGATGTCAGTATGTGTATTAAGAGTTATTTACTCTTGCATTATAGTTTTACGCTGACAATAAAACCCGTGAATGAAAACACTATAAACATCAAGTTATATGAATTAAGCAATTACAAATCAATCAATCAATAATTCATGTCAAAATTCAACGGATTACAACATCGCAGCAAGAACCTGCTTGCTGTCAAACTTGGAAGCTAAATATCTTGCATTAATTATGTCTCTTTTAAAAATGAAAAGGAAAATTCCTAATTTACATCATGAAAAAAAGTTTATAGTCTGCAGTTCTCCTACTTTTTCTATAATATATTGTAAAAAATGTTGCGTTCTGTCCTAATCACAGACGCACAGGCTCTCTTGCCCTGAGACTCGTTCCTTGTATTTACCCAGGTAACCATGGATACGGCGTGGTATAATCAAATGACGACAGTGTTCCCACATTTCGGTCTTTAAATAATCTGTGAGTTCTAGAGTTTTCTTTGCGGCTTGATTTTAGGATTAATAGCTGATTTATTTTGATATGTGAACATTGAAACACCACGATCGTGAAAGCCTGCATTAAGTTTGTCGTAACAAAGAACGTGACTGATGTACATGCATGCGGTGAAAGAAATTGCCAGGGATGGATACTGTATGCGCTTCGCGAGATCGCCACCTCTCATCAATGACACCACTAGTAATTATTGTAGATACGCGATGCCGTAGCAGAATTTCCCTGACGCCTATATTTATTACAACCTGCAATGCCTCATTCACAGCAATGTGTTGGTTAATATATGATCTAAATAAAATGCGACAATAGCGGCCATTACAAAAATGCCAAGTTATGGTGCATTGCGATTCCACTCTGTACACCAAGAACAGTCAACGAAGTCAAGTAAACTAGGTGACGTGAATGCGATTTTAGTTTGCTTACTGTAAATTACATCAGGAAATAAGTAGTGTACAGTATGCGAACTTAAACTGTGTACAACGTCACAAATTGTGAGATAAATACTGGTACATATGTAAAGGCACAGGAAATTAAATGACATACAAAACGAAAAAAAGACTCACATTGAAGAGAAGAGCCAGGCAAGAGTGCAGTGGTAAGTTTACACGTTGTGTTACGCCATGGCTTGATTATGGAGAGAAGCCTGCATCTAGCAAGTATAGCTACATATTTGCACCATTTTTATTCCTTCGCAATTTCCAGAGCACCGTCATAAAATGTCGGTTAATAAACAAAAAACAAACAGCAGGTCCAAGCGAGCAGCTTATTAAGTGGGAACACATTTCAGTTTCCAGTGATTTGTTTGCCGCCTTTATACAAATTCCATTGATCGTAACTCTGTCCGACTTATTCAACGTTCGTTTCTCGACCACCTCATCAACAATTGTAAAAAAAATAGGTGTTGATACAACAACCCTGTCTTTTTTACGTCATCACCTCGGTTTACCTTCATATTTGCGTTTATCCATCTGGGCAGTGAGAACCTGCGCCTCTGAGATTAGGGCGAAATATCACCTGTCGTCCAGCTGAGATTGTAATTCAGACACCCGCATTTCCAGTTTGGCCTTTTCGCTCAGAGCTTTACCGAGGCGCTTCGTTAGTTCTCGTTGAGAGTGTCGCCACTTCACTACAAGTTCTTCCTTCGACAGTTGCCTTGGGTCAAATAGAACTGGGTCGTAAGGGTCATATCTGTTTGAATAATCTTCGCCAAACTGAGGGTTTTTAAAAGAACTATTTGCATAATCACGCTGATTTGTTAACAACTGACTGTATCTTGGCAGGTTATCTTCCATCATCATTGGGTGTGTTTCACTCGGTTCATGGTCTTCTTCATCCTCATCCTCCTCATCCTCATCTTCTGTCCACGACCCAAATTTAGTTTGTCCATTATACCTATTTAGAATACCGTGGGCTCCAAGATACTGCTCCGGATGAACGTTACTATTTTCCGAACTTAAACAACGTGGACGGTACCTTCTATCAAAACTGTCAGATTGTTCATGACTTTCAGGATTACCTAAACTGGGATAACATACGTTGTCATCTTCCCCTGGATTAGAGTTCAAACTGAGAAAGCTATCTTGCTCATGCTCATCCCACCTTGTGTTTTCCAATTGTTCTAATTCATTCATTGAGTCTGACGGAGATTGACTGATTACATCGCCGTGTGGAGAAAACCTTACCAACTCTCCCGATGGTGAAAATCGTTGTAAATTGTCGTAGGACGTGTCACTGTCGCTAGGAATGTCTGGCAGACGATTTGGTCGGTAACAATGGAAAGAAGCTTTCCTGGAATCCTGCCTAGCTTCCATCTCTTTCTCCTTCGCTCTATTAAATCCGTTACCATGGTTACTCTCCTCTTGAAGGCTGGGCCTCTTGCTGTCATTTTTTACCCTTGGAATGACAAATAAATAAAGTATTACTACACATGCTTTAACAGCATCAATACCCAATTAATGACCCCAAAATTCATTCAATTCATAGTTCAGTTGTTTCTCAACATTATAAAATGTCGTGCAGATATAAATGGAATGAAATATTTCACGAAAATCTGAGAAAAATGGATATGACTAATTGGCAAACGTGACAAGTTGGCAAATACAGTGGCATTGTTAAGTGGAATAGAAGAATACACGCCAGTCTATTCAACGTATTGTGTACAAGTATGCAACGCATACAACTGAAAAGCGTCCTTGAGATAATGGATATGGATTTGTAAGTATGTGATCTAACTGTCATAACCTTATATTATATGTCAACATCACTTAGAAAAATCCACGGGGAACCTGTGTTTAATGCATATGATAATAAAGATCGCCATGTCATGCAATTCATTTTATCTAACTTCAAAACTTCAAGTTAATTGTAAAGGTTTCCAATGAAATTTCATCTCATGCCAAGCAGTAAGAAAGTATTGTACAGTATATAGTAATAGTTTATTTATAGTATATATTTTCAGTGGAATTTCTTACCATGCAACAGAATCAATGAGATCCTTTAAATTTGCATCTGATCCCATTTCCATGTTCGACTCTCTTCGCATCATCTGAAATTGGAAAATAGGTTTCAAAAAAGAATAAACTTTATTATCCAATAACATATTCATAGGCGTAATGTGGTTTACACTTTATTCTCTTAGAATCAATGCAGGTTGTTATTTAGAATACAAATATAACCTAGAAGCAGTTAATAGGTAAATTAATGCGCTATTTTTATTTTTAAGGAGAATTGAAAATTGATGATGGAAAACGTGCAATGATCCTTACGCCCTTGTGAATGAGTTAATGCACTTATTTGAATTTAGAGCTAGAGATTTGTATTTATCAGCGAAATTCCCATACACCACACGGTAAATCGTAAATAATGCACATATACTCTGAAATCTTGTAAACAAATTTCCTTGTATAACGATTTACGTTCAGGGAGCCAAACTGATCGGTGCTCAACAATTACTGGCAACTTTATGCATTTGAAGCCACGGATAACGCACCACCTACCGACCTTCTGAATTTGGTTACCGTCAATGGTATACTAACTTAATAAATTAAAACACGCAAGGTTATCACAGCATAATATTACACGTAATCCAACATGTCAATATTGAAAAGTATGTGTTTTGATTCAAGGTTCCCAGAACATGATGTTGCATTATTTGAATAATTAATCACCATTACTATAACTAATCACCATATATTAATGTTATTCCTTATATGCCCTAGTACATTACCCAGGGCTAACAGTTTCACCACGATTGCCAGCATTAATATGTTTACATAAACCGTTAATATTCCCATGTTTTCGATAAACAACATCGGCAATACAGTTGCTGGTATACGCCATACTGCCAGGCAAAGCCAGCAGTTGACTCTCTCTTGCAGCGTCTACAAAATAGACTCTCACCATGAATTCATTGAACGGGATTGCAGTGATTCTGCTGGTCGGACGTTTTAGTCGCGTAGGAGGAGTGGAAAGGGCATTATAGTTTACAGTGGCGACACTAATAAGAAATTGACTCAATCTGTGATGTGGAGGAAGCCTTTTTAGGCACTAATTTAATTCTCGATCAATGAGTACCCGATGTGAAATTGCGTTCACCAGGAATATCTTTACCATTTACTTATGACGGCTTTCTGCGTAAAATAAAACTTTCAAAGATAAGTGTCTGAAAATCATCACTAATCTCGTATTCATCTTTTTCGACCTATTATAACTTACATTCATTCAAATTCAAATCAAACATTGTTTTGTGTAATGTGTCTTTATGCGTCATGATACACTGCCCTATGAAACGAACACTTAAAATGTGTGCACGAACGAAGGCGCCACTCAATCACCAAATGAATATTTTGACGCGTTCTGTTATGTTGCTTGGCGCTGCAAGAGAAGAGTCAACGACTCGCTAGCGCCCTTAGTATTATGCTTAATCACTATTGTGTATCAGCATTTGCATTATTATCCAAGATTACCCGGCGAATTATATTGATTATAACAAAAAGTATGGCAAATTTGATGACATGCTTGCATGGCACTAGAACCTGTAAATGGTCTGCATAGTTTTGGAGAATCCAGTCGATCGGAGCAAAATACTGATAAGAAGTGAAGTGCCAAATGTGAGTCACATCTGTAATCGAATCTGCCAATGAGAAAGTTAGGTCGTGGCATGCGTAATTCATTGTGTGTTGAATACACCACTTACGTCACTTCTAAAATCTACTACTGTGTGACCTTGGTAAGTTATATCCATGTCTTGCATGGATCGTCGTGACTGAGAATAAACAAACAACATCAACCAAACGTTAGGTGTACAACCTACCACCGTCAATGCAGTGTCTGCAGTAAATCTATTTGGTGATTATTATACATTCAACAACAAATCTGTATCTATATAACAAACTATACTTACAGACTTTCTTCTGAGTTGTTCTCTCTGAAACATCTTAGTGAATTGTCCCTTCTTAACCATGGTGATCATTTCTTGCATATTAGCCTTAGATGAAACCAAATCTTCTGTATTCACCGCTCTGTGCAAGCGCTGTCGGGTAAAACGTGGCTAATTAAAACACTACAAGGCAAGACGACCGGTTTCTCATAGAATAGTACCACCATATATAACTGCGCATGCGTGCGGTGAGTCCCACCAAACAGGAACATTAGTCAGGATTATTGCTTGTATGTCATATTACGTTTGACAACTGCGTATACATCAGATACTGAAACAAACTCGCATATGCGCAATTATGACCACATTATCCGTTTAATAAAACATTTTCTAATCACTTATTCTATATTACTACACTCCTATCAGTTATTGTGCACGCAAATGTGGTAATGTGTGCACGTGAAGGCTGCTTGGATATAGGAGAAGATATTATCGTAGCATTGTTTGAATAACTGAATATATAATCTCTTTTAAAATTATGCAAACACAATGTCAAATTAGAAAGTTCAATACAGCTAAATAATAAATATTTGTTTATTCTTCTTATTACAAAACTTTTGCGATCTAGAGAAAGTGCGCGTTCCAATGAACACCCACAACGTAGCAATCTTTGTCACACTCTTGTTTCTCCATGGACTCCCTGGCGTCTAATCGATTATGCACACAATTGGTTTCCTCTGTTACAAGCTAAAGTGTGTCGCATTTTTAAACGAGCAAACCAGGCATTTAGTGGCAAACTACACATAAAATAATGAAATACTTTTTTTCTACGAGGCAGTATGTACTATGTCTCTCCAACTAATAGCGCCCTCTAGTGACAGCGTCATAAAGATTTTTGATATATTTCACTATATTCTAGATGACTAACGACTGCACAACCAAACATATGTAGATTTAAACAACATTGTCGCCACCCATAAACGTCGTATTGACGTCACAGAAGGGATTAGTCGCAGGGGGCACAATTTGTGGGAATGGTGTAGTATAATTACCTGACTTAATACGAGCCAATTCCTTTTGTCGGGTTGAGAATGTAGGCGAGGAACTGCGTAGTTATACATGATGTATTCCAGAAGAAGAATCATACCTCCGACGCCAATTCCAAACAGCAGCATTATAAACAACCCTATGAGGAATCGGAGAGTGAAGGTAATAATCTATTCTAGAGTTTAGTTCTGTCTATTTATGTACCTGTTTCAAAGTGTAGCAAAAGAGAAGTCGAAAATCTTCTCTGCTATCGTTAGTATGGTGTGTAGAATTACTGCGGTGGTGTGACCGCTTATAATCACATACATATACAACGCAAACGAAGGTACAGGTATTTGAAGAAGAAACACAGATTAGAAGCACAACTGAAGCTTGTCACACTGTGGTGTGCCAAGTGAGGTATTTGCGAATATCAGTTGCGCAATGTAATCGCAAAAACAATCATGTAAACAATCTAATTAGTAGAAGTTGTTGCATCTTAACATAATCATGTAGGTAAATATGTACTGCTTACCTGCTACATGTGCCAATCGGACCTTGTTATCTCCAATGTCACTTGAACCGAGGTCGCCCTCTTTGTAGCATATCATTGTCCCAAACCATTTCTGTTGCAATTCTTCCAAATAACCATCCGTTTCGTATTCTAGTATGTGTAATGACAAAGGCTCTTTCATGGTGGAACCTTGAGGAAAAAAATAAAAGTGTGGCCGACGCATTAAAGAAAGTGGAAGTATGAACTATTTAATTTGCATGTATTGTGTGGTCATGTTTGTTATGATAAATGATCTACACACAGCGGGGTATACCTAGAAAGTACAAGTACTCAAATTTACAAGTACTCTGTTACAGCATAGTCTTGCATTAATGCATAGTTACATAAACACCAATAAGGGGAAAAACAAATTACTTTTACTCTGGCTTTGTTTACATTATAATTGTCTCAACCCATATGTTTATCTTATCACTCATAACTAAATGGTCACGATATGACCACGACTGATACAGGTTCACCAAAGTTACCCACACATAACATATCAACACTATCCGGTTGGCAGTATTTAGAAAGATGTCGAAAATATCATCTTTTACTAGAAATGATAAAAATATTCGCTAAAGTTAGAAAATTGAAGATATCGTCACGAAATGAACAAATATGTCAGAAGTCCACCCAAACTACATACCATGTATCGAAGCAGTTGAGCTGGTAGTTTTAAAGAAGAAGTCGAAAATATCATATTAACCAGAAATGAAAATAATGGCTAAAAATAGAGAACTGAAGATGCAATTGTTGGTGGACGATGGACGACAGAGGATGACAGACAATCACCTTCGGTGACAATGAAGCTAAAAAACACATTTAGTAGCGGTTTAGTCTTGAGTAAGACCCTCCCAACCGCTTTCCCACCTAATTATTCTAATTAACAACATAATTAAATTATTTTAAAATCTTCTGGTGCTTCAGAACCGTTTCCATAGAAATGATGTTGGTAGAATTCCAAATTCACGCATAGCAGTGTGATATAAACAACTATTTTGTGGCGTATTACGTATGCGGGCAAGTTATATGTAGGTTATAAACGGTACGCCCTGGTATTCAGTTGCGTATATAAAACGTCTCTGGGAAAGATTTGCTTATATTGAACTAAAAACCTCACTTACGCTCGGGTACAACTCCTGGTATATTTTTCCCAGAAAGGTCTTATATCTGCTAACAAATACTCTCGATTGGTAATATCACACGATTGCTGAATTGTGATGTTTATTTTTGTTCCGTTTTAACAGCATTCCCACACCCTTTAGTGCAAAGAACAATCCCAAATGATTGAGGAGCACCTGGTTAGAGTGTTAGCTGAACTTGATAGAGGAGCTCACATCGGATGACCATTTGTTTAATACGGTTGTTTGATGATATTGTAATATGCTTTCTAAAATCTATTGATTGTTGTCAGTATTTTTTAAAGATACACGAAATCGATTTGTCCTGATATTATTATCGAAGCCTCTAAAAATAGCTTCTACAGTGAATCGAGTAAATTTATTGAATTGTTTAAAATAGTCAACTTTATTGATAATCTTTGTTTTTTCTTTAACTTACGTAATGTAAACTGAATATAAAGAATCAATCAAGTTCATATTCGATATATAAAGAATACAATATGACTTCTCGAGTATTTATGTGAAATGTTTGATGCAATGAATAATATTCAAAAAGATTTTCCACGATACAGTATGCGAGACATGGTGGACGGAATCAGTTGGTGACATTGTCCACTGAAATATTCTGACTCCTGCTATAAATGGAGAAATAACAATCTCTAAATATTGATGCGGTTTACATATACACTTGACACTATAGGTAAACGATTAGCAAGGTAAAAGGGTACGCACAAGAATAGAAACATAACTTGATCCACAACTATATGTTATTAAAAATACACACGCAAAAAATACAGCAGTTTAATAATAATATACAATTTTTACTGTACTAAAGTAAGTGCCCGGGGGGGGGGAGATAACACGACGTATTCGGAACATTTAAGGTGTAAGGTGTAATATAATACAGGGCGGGACGTGAAATGAATATCCATGTTGTGTAGATGATAGTTAGTTACTCCTCTTCGCTCCGGTGGAGCATAAGGCGCAAATCTCCTCCAGCCGTCACTGTCCTGCGTAAGCCATCCTATTTCATTCCAGGTCCTCCCTGCTGCCTTCAACTCATCTTCCACAATCCTTATCCAGGAACTCCGCCGCTCTTTCTCTTCCAAGGTGTTGTCCATCTTAATGCAGCGTGATGGTGTCTGGTTCTGCCCATCTTTAGCACATGCCCCAGCCATCTCCAGCGTCTCTGCTTCACCTCAGCTGTGATGTTATTGATGCAGGTGCGCCTGTAGACTTCTAAGTTGGTGGCATGCTGTTCCCAGCGAATTGTGCCACAGACACTGGTTTTGGCTGTACTTCTGTTCTTCATTTTCATTATCTTGGTCTTGTTTTGGTGGATCTTGAGTCCCACACTCTTTGCTGTTTTGTCCACTTTATCTGTCTTTTCCTGGATGTCCTTCTGGGAGAGAAGGGCAATGTTATGGGCAAAGTCACATTCCTCCAGTCTGGTGGTCAGTCCCAAGTCCTCGTTGCTTGTCACTGGTGGCCTTCCTCATTACCGAGTCAATGATGATAAGAAAGAGGGTGGGTGATATCATACAGCCCTGTCTGACTCCTGTCTTCAAATGGAACAATTATGTTGCTGTCCATCATGATTTACACAGCACTGGTTGTTCGCATGTCCTTGGGAAGCCATAAGCCTCAAGGATTTCCCATAATGATGGGTGGTGGATGCTGTCGAATAATAAGTCGATGTAGTTGATGTATAATGATGAGTTCCACACAAGGAACTGCTCGACTATGGTACGCAGGAGGAAGATCTGGTCAATACATCCCCTTCCAGCTCTGAAGCCTGCCTGCCTGCTAGGATCCACTCAATACCTTGTCGTAGTCTCTGTATCAGTACACGACACAAGATCTTTCCTGACACCGAAAGTAGGTTTATTCCCCAGTTGCTGCAGACTGATAAGACTTTCTTGGGTAGTTTAACAATAATTCCTCTTTTTCAGGCTCCAGGAACCTTTTCCAATTCCCATACTTTGTTGACAAGTTCTTTTAAGGCTCTGGCACTGGTGATGGGGTCTTCCTTCAGCATGTCTGCAGTGATTTCATCTTCTCCAGGGGCCCGATTTCCCTTTGTCTGTTGAATAGCCTTCTTTATCTCTTGTTCTGTGATGTTTCCACGTTTCATTTCTATGCTGTAGCCAGTTCTTTTAATATCTGCCACTTCTTCTGAGTCGGGTCTGTTCAGTATGTCTCTGAAGTATTCTGCCCATGTGTTTAGCTTTTCCTCTTCTGTCATCAGCACTTTCCCATTCTTGTCTTTTACTACTGTTGTTCTATTAGCAAAGCCACCCCTGAAAGTCTTGCTGATCTTGTACACTGTCTTGGTGTCTTTTTGCTGCTTCTTGCGCGTCTGTTGCTAATTTCTCCATAAATTCTCTCTTGTCTTTTCTAGCACTCTTTTTCACAGTAGTGTTCGAAACACGGTATGCGTCTTTTTTCTTCCTTTTCTCTTAGCGTTTGTTGTTTCACTACTTTTCTTTCCTTTATGAGCTCCAAAGTGTTCTCTGAGATCCACTCTTTCCTTTCCTTTCCTTTCTTCTGTAACCAAGCACCTCCTGTTCAGTGTCAGAAAATGTCTTCTGTATCCTGTCACATAGAATGTTGATGTCATCTAAAGGTGTATCCCCCAAGACTTGGAATCGGTTGGAAAGTTTGGGTGCGCACGTCAGGCCTTTACCCACCAGTCACTACACATGAGCGGAAAATGTAAACAAATGCGACGTCCTATACACGAACGAGTGATGTAAATTATCTCCACGAAAATGCTTTGCGTATTTATTGCTCCACATACCACGCACAAGCACAAAGATGATCATGAGGATTTACACATTTCTCAAAGTAAATTTAATTTTTTTTAAAAACACAATGTTTGTTTATTCTGCACTTCGATTTAGTGTACTACTGACTATGAATAGAAAACACAACTTATATAAAAGGTTGCTGATCAGTGTTGAAATATGTATCTAATTATCTTCATACTTTTCATCATTCTCCTTGTTCATTAAAATAGCATAATAATAATATATTTCCCAATGTTCAAAAATTGCCACAACAATATTACCCTAGCCTTGTTTAGTTATCTGGTAGTTATCGACCTGCAAGTCATATAAACTCTCTGTATTATTACAAACACTAAAAAGCTTTTAGTACAATTGGAGTATTATAGGTTGAGTCGTTATTATTGTTTGAAAACAAATCATTCACTCAAATTATTTTTCAACCTCAGATAATAATTATAATTGACAAATATATTAAAATGACGAAAAGGTTTTCAAACAAGCTGACTTGAATATATCATGGAGACCATAGTGGCACCCACTCATCATGTTATTTGGAATTTTTTATAGCATACGCGTTTTGTACATTACATTAATTGAAGGAGCTTAAGTTTTAGTCGGTGTAGATTTTTCGTGTGTCTGTCTGTGTACTGTAAGTAGGATAACTGAAAAAGTTGTAAACCAGGGAGGTTGTCTTTGACATAGATGCACATTTATTCAACATCGTGATTTTTCATTTTTACTCAGAAAGGTTTCCAAGAAGAGTTTGTCCTTGAAAAAAGTTAGAATTTGTAAGAGGAAACAAGAATTGAAAAAGAGAATATTTTAAATGACTATTACTGTTAGATAATTAAAAGTGACAAGGAAAGGAATATGACATTGCAAGAAAACGCAGACGAATTTGTTATTTTATTTGAATAATATCAACTTTTTCATACTATCCTAGAAGATAATTGTATGAACAGTTGGCAGTAAATGTTCACTGATATCCAAATTCTCAAATATATTGTCATTCAAATGAATTGTTTGCAAAAACAAAACTACATACACATATCACATTGTGCTTATACAATAATGTATAAAGAAAGGATGACGTTTACATATATTACAAGGCCATGTTACTTTGTCGTTTTATACCATAATAGCATTATTCTTAGTTGCACCAAGACAATACTAGCAACTTTTCGAAGTTGATTCCCTCACGCATCTATCACTAGTCAATACAACTGGATGGCGAGCTGATGTCCTAGTTGTGAATTCAGATATGTCTTATCAAATCCGAGTTCTGTCTCCCTGGTCAAAATATATCTATTCACTGGGCGTTTCAAGTGTGACCCTGTGTAACAGGGGTTAAACCATCGACCATGTAATAAAGTAAACGATGTACTGGTTCAATTGCTTGACAGTAGGAGGTAGTCACCCATGTAACACAGACGCACAGGTCAGCCAGAGTGACGGAACGTGGAATTGCTAAATAGCTAAATCAGAGCCTCAGTAAACTCAGTAAAATGATTTGTTTCCGTATGAATGTCTTGAACATTTCTTAAAATAGATATATTATATGATATGTGATATACCTATTAAATAACATCCTGAAATGTTTTTTTTTAATTGGATTGTTTGATCAGTATTCAAGACAAGATGTAGATACTATTTTCTAAACTTAGTGTTTGTGACTGTGGTGACGTGAGCATGAATGTACAGGTGTTGTGCTGTGCGTGAAGTTATTATCTTGCAGAGGATATTGTTCGTAATTTGTATTTTGCCAACTTATAATAACAATATGCCCAATGTAGTGATGATATAATTCTACAAAACACAAATATGAAAAAACACAGATATGATCAAAAATTACTTGGCGATAAGTAATAATTAACGTTACGTATTCGTGTGTACAGCCGAATTCCGTGGTGTTATGTGATTAATTAGTTAATAGCATTGTTGACCTACAGATATAAGGTGCATCCAGGGTTTAGATTTGGTTTGAACAATGTAGATAATAAATGCCTTTCTATTCCATCACAGAACATATTTATCGATGCTACTATACCTTCCATTATAATCAAGTTACATTAACATAGGTTTTGAGACCAATTTATTTATATTAAAAGTATTTATAATTATTCAGTGGGTGTATCTGAATGCTGAATGTGTTGAGTACATTACAATTGCAGAAAAAAAATTGCATTAGTTAAAGTCTACGAACCTTCGTTTTGTGGCAGAGAACTAGAAAAGATTATACAAATAAACAATGTTCTCACAGTTAGGCTTGGACCACCACACGAAAAAAAAACGAAATTCCTACGATTGCAAAAAAGACCTGACAATAATAAATATAAAGCTTTTCAGAAAATAAGCAATAATCTTGATTTTTACAATTTGGTTTAATATTTTTTATGTTGTTGCTCACAAAGACAATAGTATCACCGAATCAACATCAAATTTTGAGCCATTCAGTTTGTTAATAATTCATAATTTAAAATTATAAGGCGAGTACTTATTGTCACGATTATTAAAAAACTATGATGAATACTATTTTGTTTTATGAAAAAAACTTTAAGATGAATTCTATAGAATAAATAGTATTTCCCACTTAAAAACAAGTTAATGACTAGTTTTGAGGTAACATTTTTGCCACTATTTAGTAGGTTGAATGTTCGCAGACGACTTCAATATTGTTTTAGTTAAGACACCAATCCGGTCAAAACAACACATAATAATTTACATAATAATACGATTAAATCAATGACCATTGACAAACTTTAAAAGCTAAACAAAGAAAGTGGGTTCTAGGAAATGTTTAATCTAAAAAAATACAATCATTAACATCATTGAATTATTGTCACCGAAAACGCTCTATTAGTCAAATATCAATTCACGTCCACGCTGGAAAATTCACTTCGCATTCAGTATTTCTTTTTACGGTGACATTAATTTTATACTTTTGATTTGCCCACCAGATACACCATGTATGAGGTTTTCACAATCAATAGTTCGCATGGTTTACTATATATAAACAATAATGCCACTATTACATTCATTTGTGATGTATTGTGAAGCCTTTCTGGATACTATTTTTAACTTTCCATAACTTTTCAACAAAGTCCTGTTTGCATGTAAAATTTATAGACACATAGAAGATTTTACATTTCAAATAACATCACTAAGTATGATCTAAGTATGAAGCAGAAAAATCAAAGCCTCTTTAACTGAATTTCATTGAAACTTGGAATTGTATTGGAATATATTAAATTAAAGCATTTGAAAACTGTCCAGTATGTTTGCGTTAGATTGCCATGTTAGACAAAAAGATAAACAAAATGGCGATCAACACACCAAGAATATCTCATATAGTTGTTGTAGAACTGAGATTTTTTCACAAGAAGCTCAGTACATATAACTCATATGAATCACCCACAACTAGGACTTAAAAGATAAGCTGACGAAGGACTGTGAGTGACTCTTGGTATATATTATATTCAATCTCACCTTTTGGAAGTCCAATACCATAGCCTTCTTCTCCAAATGGTTTACCAACACTAACTAGCTGGCACTCAGGATCGTTAGCCATACGGTATTCAATCACAGGCGAATCGTATATAAATGCGTCTAATTTTCCACTCCTTAAGATCATTAGCACAATTTTAAAAATCAATTTAAAGAGAAAGATATGGTTAAGCATTTACAGAATTAATGTAGTTCAGAAAATTGAATCCCTGCAATGCGCATGTCAGCACTAACAGTGTTATATGTCCAAACGACAGTGGAAGGGAAAAAATACAAATCAACTCTTTTAATAAAGTGTATGAGTTGTTAGCGCCAGGGTATTCATAGGCAACTGTCGGATATTGCAGAAAAAAATAACATCATTGGTGACAAAAGTGATAACTATAAAGAGTAAGTTGTCATGAAGACCAAGAGAAGGAAAAAATAAAAAGCATTATGGTTTACACAGCAAAAGTAACAACTGTCCTTCCCTTTCATCAATGTCACTTTGAACTCTACCATTATGTATACCACAATGCATTGCATTGCTTGTTTCCAAAATCATGTTTATAACAATGGTTCATGTAGGTGTATTTTGTGAATTAAATGAAAATTATCATCAATAGAATTGTAACTAAATAAAGATATGATTTTTTCACGCATATTTCAAAGAGTGCCAAAGTGCCAAAGTGCCAAGGATCCACAGATAATACTTGAACTGTGGAATACCCTTAAGAAAAAAATAAAAGTAACATCAGTATATTTCGCTATTATTTTGTAAAAAAGTTAATAAGCATTAAGAAATAATACATTATAGCCATGCCTGAAGCAAAATTATTGAAGGAACAAAATAAGGTTTGAGCATATAGTGCAAGGAAAGGACATTTCAAACATTAAACGTACAGAGACGACTTAGTTTTACCTAAGCATAAATTAACACATATACACAACGAAAACGTGGTTTCAACACATATCTCCAAAAAGGTTAGTGAATATTGCCATATCAAGGAGGAAAACGCATAAAAAGAAGAACCGTTATATACAAGTTAGTTGAGAAATAAAGTCTGCTTATTGAATGTTTTTTAAAGGTGTCAGCAGCCATAATATACGCCATCTTGAACAACGAGCAGACGACGTCCACATATCCAGGATCATGCGAAGTTCATGCAACGTTTACGATTGCCAGACACGTGGCAATAATGAAATGAAGTAGTGCACACTCTTATTATTTCCATTTCTCGATTCAGGATTTGGGTAACAATTGTCCAGTTTTGTTGCCGCGAACCGCCACTATGCATGCGTAGACTTCAGTTTTACGACCCTGTCTAGGTAACGCCCTATGACATGAAAACACATGGGGAGTAACAAAACCGTCACTACCAGTCAAGGCAACCTCTATGTAAACGAGGGAGCCTACCCTAGACAGACTGAAGATAAGGTATTACGTAACGACAGGGTGGTAAAGCATAGTCTTCAGTGAGAGGTCCTGGACAATTTTAACAGTATCAATATCAACCCATTCTTTGTGGCGCTCTCCCAATGCAAGAGTGGTCATATACAAGGATAAGAAGGATATGATTGTATACATTAGAGTATTAGTTTGATTTGCAATATTGTAACTTTAGAGAACGTGATTAAATTTGACGGTACGCAAGTTATAGGGAGGTTATGTGTTTTTAATGACAAAGGCATTAGTTAGACTAAAGTGACTTACTAGAGGGGCGGAATTGGAATGCCACCAATCGACCACACGATCACATTCTCAGAAATGAACGTCCTATTTGCATCTCAATTACATACAGTGCTTTAGCTACTTTCATTTCAATGTCCTGCATTGGAAGAGCTTTAAAGAATTGTCAATGTTAATACCGACCCATTTCCCGAATTCGCGAAAATGTGTCCCTCGAGTGTGCATTTACTCACTTCAATTTCGCCATAGCTTCCTCGGTGCAGTCCTGAATGTAGTTGTCCATGAATTTCGCCAGCTTTGGGTGATTTCGAGTTAGGTACACTTGAATACTACTACCCGTTACTGTGCCGATCGTCAGTGAACCATCTGGGGAATGAACCTTCGAGTTGCCATGACAATAAAGTACAACAAAACAAGCTTTGGTGAGAAGTAACGATATTGACAGGGAGGTAGCGGGAGATGTGCGTTGACTGAAGTTCCCACTGTAAAAATTCGCCGGGATTTATTTGTTTTCAGCAATTGATATACGTTTTCGCTCACACACATATATATAAGTGTGGAAAAATCGCTAATATCAATTTGGAGATATTCATCCTAAATTGAAACAAACCAGGACAGAATTGATAAAGTGGAAACGCTCAGCAAATGGGCAAACGAATATCATCTTGTCACAGGGATATTCCTCAAGCGCTGCTGGAGGTCAAATGATGATAATAACATCATTCAGCCCCCAGCAAAGTTACCCAATAAATTATTCAGGATACAGCACTCACTTAATATGCTCTATAGCCTGATCTGCGTCCTCCACGTTAAATGGTTCCATAAACCTGCCCACGTCAGGCCAGTTCTCCATTATGTAGTTCTCGCAGCTGGAACCATTCTGGGTTGCAAATTTGATGCCCTTTCTTAACGGATACTGGAACTATACACAGTGGGTCAAATGTTGATTAAGAGAGTATGCTACCGATGTGTAAGACATGCTTCAATATGTACTGACACTGTCTTACAAATAAATGCAAGGAAATAGATCGCGTACAAATTTATACCGATGCCACCACACGTTATAAATCAACAGAATACCCACTTAGGTAATCTGTATTGAAAAACTGAAAATGAATGGCCGCAATGTAAGTAGCAGCTTAATAGTAAAGATGTTCGATGAATGGCTATTCTTCTGTGGAACGTATCATAACTTCGGTTACAAGTGATGTTAAGCTGTAAGAAAACGCTACAGCTATACGATCTCTACTAATAGAGGGGAATAGAAAACTTTATCAACCTTATTTGCTGTTCCAGACTATAAGAAGCACAATATTGCGAAGAAGTTGTCTAAACGAGAAACCATTAAGATTTCGAGAGCAACCCTGCGCCAATGAACAATGCTATACTGACGCTGATTAAACACGAAATCTTGCTTTGAGAACTATCAATCTATTAGTGATGCCACATTCAAACGGGTTAGGTAATCACGAATTGGTGACGAATATTGGCCCACAAATAATGCAATGAATATTGTTTTAACGCTCTTGTGCTTGAACTGTCAGGCTTTTTTAAATGATATGTTTATCCAAGATTTGATCCTATATGTTCACACTAATTATTTTGTCCGGATTAGTGTGCCGCTATATAAATCCCTCACTGTAAAACCAACGATTCATTCACTTGGCCAGCGTGTGTTGATCCACTACAGTATGTATTTAATAAGCGCCCTTAACGACAAGCAGGGGAGATGCGACAAAAATAAACAGCCAATTAGCTATCATGTATCAAAATACAGTAGAGCGGTGTTTTTTTTAAAAGGCGACCCAAGTTTGAACAGATCAGGCAGTTTTTCAAGATAAAAAACCATGTATTTGAGACAGTAGTAGCTGGAAAACGTTGTAGTAAATCACGAAAACTGAGCAACAATTCAACCTTTGAATGATCAGTCCAGTAGAGTTTCTGAGATTTTCTTTGACAGTGTTTCGGTGTTGACAGTTTCATACTTTGTTAAAACATGGTCGACATAAATATTTGTCACGTTGCTGACGAAGTATGCCACTGCAACGTTGGCATCCAAAATTGTGAAAAACTGCGTGAAAAATTGCGGCGCCGGTTTTGGGGTTGGCAAACAACCTTAACACACTCTACACGCACGGTTACTAGAAGAATTTTGAAGTCGCCATTTCCGACATTTTGTTCTTTAGCTTACCGGTCAATGATACACAGCGTCTAATTTGGCGCCTTTCCAACAGGCGCATCCAATCAAACTTGGCCATTTGTTTAACATAATATACGTGTTTTCCCAGGCTGATCCCGAACGGGTTGGTGGAGCTGGCACCAATAAACCGTGCGATTCGGACGATGGTGTTGGTCCGGAAGTGGAAGCAAATAAACTTTAAAATTCGCCGTTCATAAATTACATATAAAGACCAGTTGAGTGCAAAACATCAAGTTTACCATCATTTATCATCACGGGATTACCAGAGATCACTTTGATTTATATAAAGTGATAATGTGCGAACGAAACTGGTGTCACTCCCGTTAGCACAGTGCAAACGGTGATTGAACAGTGAACGAAATGGCGGACTTGTTCACGCTCTTGCCAGGTGACTGCGTTAGCTTCATTTCATGAGTGAGATGTACTGGTAGCGAAGAATGGCATGTACAAGGAAGTTAAATTCATACAGTCACAGTCACGTAGAGCCGGTGTAAGAATAAGGTTGAGTACACGCATTGTACGACATGCATATATAATTTAGCACGCTTTAAGGTTGGACTTTGTCCGATATTATTTCAATTATATTTCAATTAATACACAAATTAAACATAGAATATTTACAGTAAATGGTATAAACAATGCATGTTTATTGTATGAGGTCTTTTAACATTTGCCGAAAATTCAATCTCAGTTCACTATCTTTCATAAATCATATAATAGTTGGTTCAGCAATAATGTTATTAATTAATTTAATTCTACCCTGTCAAGCTAAAGCTCACTGTGTAAACTAGGATGTTAAAACATGCACTGACATCAAAGCATTTTTGTATATGACAATGAACTAAACTGTGAGTATGTAATCTATGAAGGCTAGAACACTTCTAGGCCAAGTAATAAAAAATATGCGTACATCGGTGATGTCGCGGATTAACCCTAGTGATGGTAGCAAGTTATAGAGTATACTCAAACTTAAGTACTCAATGGCTTGAACGCACTAATTCCTAGTAGCAAATACAGACCACATACAGAAATAATTTGAAAAATTAACAGCTCAGGATTTGAGTAGCAGATCCGCAATCCGGGCAATAAAAGAGAAAGTAACTGATTATTGAAAAGTATAGATAAAAGCAAACATTTTTTGAGAATCGAAAAGAAATGGGAAAAAAGTCATTGCATTCTTTGTGATTCATCACCGACTCGTTAATTCGCGATTCGTGAATTACCCTAACGCCATTCAGACTGCTAATTTAGTGGAAAGTTGAAGTGAACCCGAGAAAGAATACGAATTACTTTAAATACCTGTAAACGATAGTAACCAAATCCATCAACTATCGTACTTCCGGATTCACTGTACGATTATGCTAATTAGGGATCGTCTTGATATGCGCAAACGACTTACCTTCTCATCATTGATCCCATCTATTTGCAAATGTGACGTTTGGCCAGCCATGTAAGCCGCTAAGTTCGCTGTGTAACTCGCAAAGAAGATGAATGAAAATGCTCCCCATACATTGAGGAGAAAGCGACTAGTCATACATTTTGGTGGCTTACTTTTCACAGTGTGACTGAACAGAATAGAGAACGCAATATTCAGCGCAGATGGAAGTCCAAATGTGTAGTGTCGGTTCCGACCGCGTGGGTGCAAGCCGTATGGGCTCATCCATTCGAAGATGGTAATGGCAATAGCTACTATGTTTACAGTGACGAATACCAGGATCCATACAGACCAATCCAGTGGCTCTAAAAAGGAATCCAATTGCGGCTCCACTTGTTTTTTGGCAACCAATGTAGAAAACCCTGAGTGGAAGAATGGGCTGCTGAAGTCAATAACCCTGCTTCTCTCGGACGTAATACTGAATGAGCTGAGGGCCAGGTCAGCTGTACCGTTTAAAAGGTCAGCAACCATACCATTCCACTGTCCATTTTCGAAAGCACCATGGTTCTCGTCGGCCACTAGATATAAATTATAATTAAATTCAACGTCGATACGTAAGCTCTCAATCAAATCAATGCCAAGCCCAGAGCAACAACGTTTCATATCCGTATAATTTCCATGTACGGTCGGTTCGTCATATTCAGCGAATGCTTTCTCGATGTCTTCCCTTGTACCGTTGACAGCCTGCAAACACAACACGCCGGTCAAACAGTCAAAGGAGACGTCCAGCGGCGTAGACACAACAATAAAAGGCTTTTCTATGTTGGCGACTATCAATACCTTCTCCGTATTAACTCCGTTTGGCAAACTGACTGAATTTCCAGGCCAGATAATTGCTTCCATTGAAAAGTCGCCGTTTTCCCATTTACCCAACTCTTTCCAGTAGGATAATCTGTTTTGGTCTTTGACTAAATTTAATATTATGTAGGTTGCATTGTTTAGGTTTCCCTCTTCATCTAGATTAATATATCCTGTTTGGCCCATAAAGGACGTTTGTACTAAGGCGCTGTAAACAAATCAATGCACAGAAGATGATTCAATGATCTTAGATATGTGGACATTCAACTTGATATACTTGTTAAGAATAAAGTATATATGGAATAAAGGGCTCCGATGAATTATTACGAAATAATTGAGTTCCTTTTGAATATTTACCCTAAAACAATATTGATAAATAATGACTAAAAAATATATGCAAAATAAGAAACACAAAAAACACACTTTTCACACACAGAGATACATTCCCTTGCCATGGTTCTGCATTTACGCATAGGGCGTGGGCGGATAATTTCCTCTCTTCTATAGATGAAAATCGGAGGTACTTATACAACCACCACTCCATCCCCATCCCACCTCGCTGGTACATAATGACGTGCGCATATTTGTTGCACGATGAAACACATTTAAACATGGTTAGTATGGTTTATTAGGTAGGTGGTCTTTTTATGCTGGACCAAAATTTCTGTCAAGATGGCTAGTAGAAAATGCAATACATAGATTGTGTGCAACTTGTTCAAATACTCACCTATAGAATTCCCTGCCATACTCTAATTTATCCGGTGTTGGTTTAGACCAACAACTCTTATTTGACGCTATGTTGGAAATATAGTTTTTATTAACGGAAGCCCTAGCAATTAATTCCACGGAATCGTGAATTTTTGACTCTATATGACCACTGTCTACAAACTGTACAGCAATTAATCCAATTGGATAATGTTTTAAATACTGAGGTTGGTTTGTTATAACAGTTTCTGCGACTATCCACACATTGCCGGCGTCCAATAAACCGAAGTCTTTCGCCGCTCGAAACAATAAAGACGAGTATTCCGGCGTCGCGTGCAGCACAAAAACGCGCGTTTTGCTTTTGGCAGCGCTGTGTAACACGTGATCTATGTCACGTTTATCACGAGAAAAAACCGTGCCTTTGACTGTCCATGTCAGGGATGAGGTGACGTTGGTTAAGTACTGTAGAAATGCCTGCGATGGCGTCTCTTCACTTGCAAGAATGGAATACTGGAACCACCCATTACGATGAAGGATTTTTTTGATGGCGTACGCTTGGAAACTCTCTGCCGACTCTAAGCGAAGATACATCGGGTGGACGTTCTGTAAAAGCAACAAAAATATGGTCAGTGGAATCACTTGGTCGTATAATCAGCGAACACATCAACAATAAAGAGCGATGGTCGTCAAGTAGAGTATGTTCGAATTAACAGGCATTGTTTTAACCGCGCATTGTAAACGTCGAATTGAACCCACAAATCAAACTAATATTCAAACAAATATTTCCAAACTATTAATACTTATAGATATTCAGTATTTACATTCAGTATTTGTATACAGACGTAATGTATCTTTCTTATAATTTAGCTATGGGCTGACAGCCATATACAAACGTCGCCATTTTTGGAGTTGTTGGAGTTTCCAATTTTGGAGTTTTAACCGAGTTTTAGTTCTTTATTACAACGGAGTTTTTATGGCATGTCTGTATTGTTTTACCGTGACTACAAAACAAGGCAGATAATGGAAAACCGAGGCGCGCTTGTTTAGCCTACAACATCAGGCATTCGCGTGATTGAAAACGTTTTCTATAGTCGGAACAATAAAAATGAAAAATAGCGAAACTGGCCGTCATTGTTTCGGCATATGCATAATGTATTTACCTTTAAATAAGCTTTCAGATGATGTATAGGGTAGTATAGTAGTATAGAACACTTTGCACATAATACATTGTAATCCCGTTATAACGAACACTTTGCACATAATACATTGTAACCCCGTTATAACGAACACTTTGCACATAATACATTGTAACCCCGTTATAACGAACACTTTGCACATAATACATTGAGGTCGTGAGACATGGTACGTTTTCATTATATCAGGAAATTCATTATAAAATTGTTTATATTATTATAACGAAGTCACAATGCATTTACGATATCGGCAGCGTAGTAGTGAGCGAAATTATGTTACGAATGCTTTCTCGAAATCGTGAATATATGTATGGTTTAAATAAAATTTCCCAATCGCATGAATGATGGTAAACTAGCGATAATCAGCGTTGAGGAAAATTGATCGACAATGCAAATTTACAAAGTAAGTGCGCCCTCTAATTTTAAAAGTCCTTCTTCGTTAATTCAGTGGGGGCGGTATTGTAGACGACGGCATTTATGCGCAACAGCTTAAGCGCCCGACTGGTATTCGCATGGGCAAAATATCAACGACAACAACATGGATATAAATTTATACCCGAAAGCCAATGTTGAAACGTATTATCCATTGAATTAATCAAATGATTTAAAACTTGATTGATTGATTCAGCAGCAAAGCGCTACACAAAGAAGCACAATGGACCCAGCCTGTACGTCTCCTATGTTGTGGTAGCATGTGTATTATGTCACTTAATAAATAATTCACTACTGAGCAAATACCCATCTATCCAATGAATCACATGTAATTCCAATAGTATGGATATTATCTATTTGTAAATGAAAAATGGAGACGACGTTTTTTTTCATTGATTCCTACGTCACACTATTGTCGTGACATGTAAATTTAGACTCGGAATACTTACCAGTAGATTTCCCGCGCAACCTATAATTTTCATCTATATGTTAAAGGTTCTATAACGAACACGTTTATATTTATGTATTTTTCCACATAAGACAAGAAAAGCGCATTGTATACTATTATGTGTGTTGTTTTAGAGAGGTCAGGGAAAGTTGACGAGCGCGGATGTATATTGGATTTGGTGACATTATACGTTACATGTGTGGAAAATAACTCCATTCTGTATACACCGGGAACGGACGCGTCTACTGTGTTTGCACTTTGGCTCATTGTGCATGCAATATCGGGCCCCTGTGGCGACTTTTGGTTCCATTATAGCGAGTGCTCACCGTAATCGCGTCATTCATCGGCGAGATCGCAAGCCGCGTTTAGCAACGTGAGTTTAGTGGGAAGAATGTACAGAATTGTGTTTACTCGGTTTGCCAGGTAACCGTCAGAACGAGCCCAGCGTGGGAGAAAATCTCGTCTGCAAATAGGCAACGATTGCGTATAAAACCGTCCTTCACGCATACTTCACTCATTATCACCACTATTTCTACAGAGATATAAATAAAGACTTCCTCTTGCTACTACCGCTGCTTGTAATCGTTAAGCACATACCATACAGCTACCAACGGCGGGACATACCATACAAAAAAACGCCGACATCCTTTGCAACTCTGAGTTATTACATTTCATTAAAATAGCATGGTTACATCGATCCGATATGTACGCCGCCAGTAAAAAGCCACATGTGGGTAAACCTCCCGTACTCCCATATATAAAGGTGCCGTTCTAACTATAATATTGATCAACTGTGAGATTCGGATTTCAGTTAATGATTTTTGTAAGAAATATATTGTGTGATACAAGTGCACATATGATGTTTGAACGTATGCGTGATCTACTCGTGATAAGTCGTTTGTGTGCACCACTGAATTTATACGACAGCTGGTATCATGTTAATGCGAAGGTCGGTTATGTTACCTCGGTTACCGTGAAATGATTCGTACGTATTAACAAAAATTCAACACTTTTGACTATGTAATTACCACATACAATGCCAAGTTGTTTTCCACGTGGCTTGATATATTAATGTACGTATATATTATACTGGGTTACCGGAGTTGGTGTGTGTAGAAATGAGAGTAAGTGCATCTCATTTTAGGGTCGTATGTTCTACGAGACAATAATTATCAACCAATTCAAAGCCTGGATCTGAAACGATCGAAACATTGCTATTATAGAACACTTTAATTACTTGGCGCTACAAGTTACACTTTTACGCTACAATGGTTTCAAACATGACAGAATTACATTTAGAAGTGCGTGAAATGTTTAAAAAAATGAAATACTGTCAACGAGTTTGAGTTCGCATGTTCTTGTTTATTAGGTTGGTTTAAGTGGGAAATGGTAGAAACACGTAATCTTCTCACATATGTTGAGAAACACTTACACAATTAGAGCTAAACACAATATATGTGTATCGTCAAAGGCCACTTTTATTGTGGAATATAAGTTTTAAAAAAGCCGATCTTAATCCATAAACATACCACATAATAATTTCAGTGTGATAGCAATGGGATGGGATGGGATGAGATGAGATGTTCTTTGTTATCTTTTTAACAAAGTTATTCAAATATTGTTAATAAATGTATAAATACCAATATTAGCATTCATTGACTAATCACCAAATTGCACGCATGTTCGGATCACAGGGGACACGCACTCAACCGACAAAGAGACAAGCACTCGAGATTACAAAATAATCAATCCGTGGGTACGAACCAGGAAACAAGATAATCAATCCGTGGGTACGAACCAGGAAACAAGATAATCAATCCGTGGGTACGAACCAGGAAACAAAATAATCAATCCGTGGGTACGAACCAGGAAACAAAATAATCAATCCGTGGGTACGAACCAGGAAACAAAATAATCAATCCGTGGGTACGAACCAGGAAACAAGATAATCAATCCGTGGGTACGAACCAGGAAACAAGATAATCAATCCGTGGGTACGAACCAGGAAACAAGATAATCAATCCGTGGGTACGAACCAGGAAACAAGATAATCAATCCGTGGGTACGAACCAGGAAACAAGATAATCAATCCGTGGGTACGAACCAGGAAACAAGATAATCAATCCGTGGGTACGAACCAGGAAACAAAATAATCAATCCGTGGGTACGAACCAGGAAACAAGATAATCAATCCGTGGGTACGAACCAGGAAACAAGATAATCAATCCGTGGGTACGAACCAGGAAACAAGATAATCAATCCGTGGGTACGAACCAGGAAACAAAATAATCAATCCGTGGGTACGAACCAGGAAACAAGATAATAAACCCGGTCAGAAATCTAAAAAACGACCGATTTATTTTGTGTCCTGTCGTCACAATAATTGTTCACGCATGTAATTTTATAACACGAATTATGACTATTGCGTAATATAAATATTGTAAAATTTGTTAATGGTTATTACTAGCATTATTTCACCAACATGTCACCAATACGTCACACCATACTCTTATTATTTAACCATATGTTTCCCGCCAAATTATGGTTCAAGATATTAATGTATTTTTCAAATATGTCATTGGAAATTTTGGACCAAATATCTCATTTACTGTAGGTCAAGTTCAAACACTTGAAAAAATTGCGGGTTTATCTTACCTCTTAAAGACATAATTTCACATAATTCGTCAGACAGTAATGGAAACAACAGCAAAACGAAAGAAATACGATATGCCGCACTTTTGAAAATGGATTGACACATTTATCGAGGACAATTAATGATGCGATTGATAATTATGGACACAATTCATTGTGAATATTTGGGACTCAGTGGTGAGTGTTGCTTTAAGTAATGAATTGCTCGTTATTGTAAATATGTGGGTTATCTGCGGATAAGGAGTACAGCATGTATGAATGGAGGCAGATGTGGGAAATGAGTACATAAAAATAAAATTGGTTTAATAAAAACAGAGCAGTAGGGTATCAATTCCCTGGCTGGTTAAACAACATCATTCCATAATGATGGACATTGCTCATTAGGGTGGAGTCAATCATGTGGCTTAACTTCTCAATATGGTATACTTAGCAGTATTCTACATTGATGTGTGTGATGTTTTCAAACACCCTCCCCGCCCCATTACCCGGATTGATCCGATGTGCTATTTCTCATTTCGACAAACCCGTGACAGATCCACTCACTACTAGTATATTACATCGTGACTCTCCGCAGCTGGCGTGAAATCGTACATGCAGCATATGCCCCACGCCGCACCCTGTCAATTCTCATCTTCGTCATAAGTACCACGTGTTTCCCCGTGTCTGATAAATAGCACTGTATAAACCATCTCAAATTACGCTGAATAATGTAGCATGCAATACATAATGTGCGCTATTATTTTATTCATTCCCCTGGTAGCTAACGATAGTTATTATTGTGAATTTATTTTATTATCACCCACACTGATTTGCACACTACACGAGGCTACAATCCCATCCCTGCCTTACTTTTTTTCTTTTTTCGAGTTGCCAAGGCG